ATGTTCAAAAAAAACATACATTACGTATGATATTGATCTGTATGAGTCTCTTTGATCGAGACAACAGTCACAGTCGGCTGTAAACAGGCCAAACAAACATCGAACGAGTTGCCCGCTCAACCAAACGTCCGCGGCAGAAGGCGGAAAGTGGAAGTTCCGCCTACTCTAATGCGCCCACCCGCCCTCCCCTGAACTGATGATGTGATTTTTATTATTGATTAAAAGTCTTCAACAAGAATAGTCCAGTCGCCTTAAGTTTCAAGTTTGCAGATATGCCTGTTTAGTTGTACGTTGTCTACTGAACGGTATTTTTATAACTGGCTGATCCATTTTCAGGCCAAACATGCTGTAATTGAGTCTGATCAGTTGGAATCATCTTTAATTACATTTATTTACTGACCAGCAATCATATATAAAGGCTGGAGAATGAGTAAAAAGATATATTTGTATGTGTTTGAATCCAATGTGTCTGTCCTCGGTGGTTCACTGTGTGACACCTCCCCCCCTCTCTGTTCTGTTTTGGTTGCCTTTCCCTTAATTCAGTGCAGGCTGGGCGTCTCCCCAATCATGGCACCTGTCCCGCCTACACACCTGCCAGTCTTCACCTCGTCAGCCACACTGACCCCTTGCAGCATGAAGGCCAATTTGTCAGCTATCTTCCCTGCTGTGCTCGCTGCTGCCTAGCTTTCAAGCCTTGCTGTGCACCTCAATTTAGTTTCTCTGATTGCATTTGGTTCTTGCCTACTAGACTTGTCCATCTTCCTGACAATAAACCAGTTCTGAGTTCATCGTGTCTACCTTTGTGTCCAGTGCTCATCTCAAGCTAAGCCTAACAGTATGTGTTTATATGTCATTCCAACCTCACATGCAAACATACCAGTACATTGGTAAACAAATTGTGAATACTTTAATTAGAGTTAAGTTGCACCTAATGTAATCATAAAAAATTAGGAAGGACAGCAAAATGGGAACGTATTAAAAAGAAACAATACAAATGCATTATAAATATTAATGTAAATAATTAAAGGGAGGCAGACAGCTTTTCTTAACAGCTTTGCTTAACAGCTGGTGCTTGAGAAAAAAATGCTTTCAATAAAAATTTCAACAAAATATTGTGAATTGCACACAACTAGAGTAGAATACTCAATTGTGGGTGGGCTGAAGCTGTACACGTATGGTGCAAGGGAAGTGACAGACAGATACAAACAACAGCGCTCAGCTTTCTGCATTCTTAACCCTGCTAAGTGGGTTAGGATTTACTACATGACCTACTTTGGCTCACAGGCAAATACCGTACACTGATACTGAGCAGGGATACCTCCTCTACAGAGAAAATCCCTTTCAAAAGTAGTACTTGCATTATTAGACGTGCTCAACGGTCAGCTTGCGTACATACAATCCGGTCGCAGAAGGTGACTGGAACTGATTTTTCATGACTTGTTCCAGTAAAGTTATTTTGTTAGAAGCATTTGTTTAAAAGACTGCTGGATGATAGCAATGTGTTCTGAGGTCACATTTACACATACACAGTCGTGTAGGTTTGAAAATACCACAACTTGCTCAATCCTGACCCATCTTTTGGTGAGACAGCTGTGTGAATCACTGGGCAGCCCAATTTCCAATTGGTTTCCAGTTGGTTATTACAGACATCCAATTAACAGAACACAATTGAGAACCATGTCATAGAGATCCTGATCCGTTTTATTGGATACTGGCATTTGGGCCGTCGGCACCTTAACCTGAAATTAAACCACCTTATGTTTGGTTGTTTGTTTGGTTATTTGTTTTTTTAAGGACAAAGATGAAATCATTTCTCGTCCTGCAAAACTCCGCAAAGGTGGGCTGATAAGTCACAAAACAGATGATGAAAGACAAATAAATCCCTCAGACCCACCCGCAGTCTCTGAACCCTGGGACACCCGACACCCTTGTACAAAAGTGCTAAAAGTTTATAAAGATGATTAAATACATAACATGGCTTCTGACACATACCTGAGCCCAGACTGGAGCAAAGAAGAATCAAGAATTAGGTTTGACAATGGTTTGATGCAAATAAAGGAAATTTGTTGTTATTGACACCTAAAAATGTTTACAATTGCCTTTGTTAATAAGTTTAAACCATAAATATATCCCAAACTATAATCCAGAAAAACTTGAATGCAAATTTAAATGGACCTAATAGCATTATTACAGCTGTAGCTATATTACCGTACAACTATCTTATCAGCCATTGTATTACATGGACAAAGTGATGCAGACGCTCACATTTTTTTCTCCACAAATCAATTTTTTCCAGTTTATTCTGCACTTACTCTACTGTTACCGTCCTGTAAAATTGGCTTGGTTTAGGAGTGGATCTTTTTTAATCAGCAACGGCAACCATGTCTTTCGTTATATTGATAACCAGTGTCACTGATCTTCCAGCTGACATTGAGCCTCTTCGGTCTCGCTCGATTTTATGTGTTGCCGTCAGCTCCCTGCTTCTATCAGCGGGATCAAACCCCACAATGGGGAAACAAGCGTGCACCCAAGACAATGAAAACATTTTTCTCAACTTCCAACATAAACACCGTCAATAACTTCACAGAGCAATGCATGAAGAATGTTGCATTTCTTATCACGCATGAAACCACCACAAGGTAATTTAACCATACGGCCTCACGCAAACACACTTAACCCTTTCATGCACTCTGTAACCTGATATCATGATAAGCTGTCCACTGTAGTAACCGCTGTCCCTGAAAGGGCTAAAGTGAGCGCCCATACAGTACTGTTGAGATTCCATTGCATTATTACTTGTGGTGGCAGCATTTCAAAAAGTTGTGAAATAGAACATTATTATCAGAAGTCAATGCTGATAACAGTGTTTGCTAACACTAAATTGTGCTAACATACAGATCTGCTCATCATTTGGTTTTGACAGGGAATCGCTTCGGCCATCGCGGCAAAGTGGTTCTTTGAGTTCTTTAGAACTTTGTCCAAGCGAACCAATGCTGTCATAAGTTGAGCTACCCAATGCGGGGGTTGTTATTATATTAATTGGCCTCATTGATTTGTAATACAGTGAAACTCCTCTAGAACGAAACCTGCATGGGCGAAAATACCCCCTTATGTGAAAAAATCTTCATGCATTAACACAATTCCCATTCTCCTGCCCCCCATACGACGAAAAACCCCCTGTTGCGTTATACGAAATCATTTTGTCTGCTCCAGCCTCGCGAAGACATTCACTACAACGAAGTCTTATCCAACAGCGACCTCTACTGCTTCGTTCGAAAAAAGGCAACAGCAACCACCACACTGGTTTACATAGTGAACGATGTTTATTTCGGTCACAGCTGCGAGTTTCCTGGGCCCAACATACTCATAGCTGCTCTGCCATTGGCTTGCCGAGCATCATCTTGGCCTCCGATTGGCCAAGAGGGACCTCACTGTCTATGTGTGTAGATACTGAAGCTAGATCCGTAGCATCCGATTAGCTGCTCAGAGTAAATTGCTTATGGCTC